TACAATTAGCACATTATTGAAAATCAGAGTACTGATATGAAAGAAAGATCTACTGCAGCTTAAAATGGATGGAATGTGCCATCTAAGAGTTCAGGAACATTTCCTAATATTTCATCCCTTTGTGCTCTAGAGAAAAAAAAAAAGTCCTGCATTGAATGGAGGATTCACTGTATATCTAGAAATCTGCAAGACACAATTTCTCTCCTAGTCGTCACTTCTACTCAGACAGATGAATACATTGCTATAGAAAAAATACAAAAAAAAAAAAGAATTAAAACAATGACTGCATCGTTTTTATTTATTTCTTGCATTCTCTGTTCAGGTAGCAAGAAATTTAATTCCAGTTGGATCAGTCTCTTGTGATATTTTTTTCTTTCATTTAATATACTTTTTAAATGCTCAGAGGCATTATGACAGAAAAGCATGTATTTTTTGCCCTGGTTTATACCCATCATCCTTACCATTACAACAAGACAAAAGCACTAAAGTAAAATTAATCATGTCAGAAGATTTTAGCAAAAAACAAGTGAGACCATGCATAAAGTATCGCTTTGTCTAGTGTGAAGTCACGCTCTGATTAAAAACATATAATGAAAGTGAAAGTAATACATCATTGCCTTAGCAGTAGGGTTTTTGGGAGAGCTGTGCAATTCTGAACACAAAAAAATCTTTAGAGGCTCTGGTCTTTGAAACTTGCAATTATTACAGAATAATTCCAACAAACACAACATTGTTTCACTCTTTAAAAGTTCAATTAATCTTAAATGGTGCAATTAAAACAAACAATCAAAAGGAGTTCTGTGATTAAACAAGGGCTCCTGGTAGGATGGTAGCTCACAATTAAAACAGAAGTAGCAGCAGCTGGCTGTCACCGGCGAGGCGCGCGGCTGTGGCACAGAGGACCCCCTGCCCTGTATCCAGCAGGCAGGTATGAGGGCTGCAAAATATCACTGAATAATGAAAGCCCCTGAACAGAGCAGAACTTTTGCTGTTAGCAGGGTCTATCAAGCGCCCACCAAGAGTTCAGTCTGTGTCACTGGCAGTAGTAGCCTGTTGCTGCTATGTGACATAGCACCCAATGAGAAAATGAACTCGTGTTTTGCGTATTTGTAAGCAAGGCTGAAAAGAAATCACTCGGTAAAGATTTGTTCACTGTATTTTGCCATGCAGTCTATAAAACCCTCTACTTTGCTCAGGCACGACTGTGCAATAAGAAATGTTTCAAATTATACAGCAGTGTGCACCTTCTGAATCTCAGATTAGGACTGAACCCCATCAAATAAAGTTTGGTGGTAGAAAATGCTTGGGATGTGCCACATGCTTCCTCCTTTTTTTTTCCTTCAGTTTGTCTCTCTCTCTCTCTTTTTTTTTTTTTTTTTGCTAACATAGAAAAAAACAACTCTATGAGAAATACCAGCCAGGAAAAATGCACTATAATACTAGACTGTGAAAAATCTACCGATCCCTTGAGCCATAGCATTCTTGCCTATAGATGATGACATTAAAAAATTGGAAATGGGTGCATGCTTCCCCTCCTCTTCTGGATCTATGAACAAGGCAAGTTGTTTTCCTGATACCTTCAGAATTACTCCCATTAGTACTGATGCGTTTGGTGCTTTGGGTAGCCAGGCAGAGAAAGGTGGGCAGTATCCCCTGCCAATAGATCTAGTCATGGACTGGGAACAAAATGAGATTGTTACTCTGCTGAGCTGTCATACTCAATAGCTTGTGCTGTTCCACCTGTAACCGCCTCCATAGCTCCACCTGCGGTGCCACGGCTGGTATGGAGTCAGCAGTTTCTGACGGCTCATCTTCTGGTGCTCCTCGTGCATCACGGACGGCAGGACGTGGAGCGCTCAGCACCCAGCTAGTTGCAACAGTCGCTCTGCTCTCCCCACTGAGTGGGACGGAAAAAACACAACGGGCAAGCAGCTCCCTCTGCCTCTCCCTGCGGAACACCTCGGGGGGCTCCTCTCAGCCACAGCCCAGCCACTGCACCCCGGACTGAATTTACAAACTTCTCTCCCACTGTCCCCATCCCCAAATGCCACAGGCACGGAGAGCAGAGAATTAGCAATGCATAGGGATTCCAAGGGGAATTTCTGTGCCTATTTACCCTGGACCAGGAAGTATTAGTAAGTGCAAAAACTAGTTTTTTTGTTGATGGCGAGGTTTCCTTGCACAGGAGAAAACCAAATACGCCTAAAGTGATAATGAGATAGCAATATCTTGAAGAACCAGACTGCAAGGACTGAAATTCTCCTCGCTGCACAACCTCATGGCTTTTATTCTGTCCCTATTCACTAGGGAGCAAACAGGCAACTCTTCATTTACACTGATGAGTGCAGGGTGATCTGCAACTTCAGCACAGACAGCAATGACTAAACAAGCCCTGCAAGTCAGAAAGAAACAGAAAAAACCCTTCCTCCTTCACTCCTGGTTCTACTTTTAGGATAAGAATAAACAGAACAGTTATTTTCGAAAACTGTGGACTGGGAAAGAGATAAGAGTAAAAGGGTAAAGGGAGAAAATAATTATTCCTTCTCCTAAACAGCAAAAACTATACCAAAAATGAAGACAGCACAATGTCCTTCAATTCCCACATACCAAGTAAAAGTCATAATATGTTGACACAACACCATGACTGCACCGTACAGTCACTATTTTATAGTGTGATTAGTTCATGGTCTTCTCTAAAACTGCTCAATCATAGTTCTTTCGATCTTTAGGTCCATGCACTCCTGTGCTGTATAGCCATCCCAATGTTTTATGGAAAGAACAAGATGAAAATTCTACTCCAACTTGTCCCCGCTTGCCACATTGTTTCTATATTAATTTAGAAAAGCAGGGGAATACAGAATTGGCACAGTTGAAACTTGCATTTCAACCTTTTTTATGATTATTGCTACTACTTGGCAAATGGTAATAATATTTTCTAAGAAACTATGCTGTTAGCAGTAAGTTTTTCAATGTGAAAAGACAGGCATTCGCCTCCGTGCTCCTAGAACAGCAGCAGTCCAGGCCAGCCCAGCACCCTTTTCTGCTTTTGAAAGAACACTGTTAGTCGTGTCACAACAAGGCTGTGTATTTGACATCTGTCATCTTAGTCAACACTGGGACCGATCCAAGGGCTTTCAGGACTTCAGTGCTGAGCATCAAGTGCTTGAGCACGAGCTAGCTAGGACTGTAACAGATGCATTACCTTTTAATCACAGCACAGAAGGTAACATGCATTCACCAGAAGGGAAAAGAGAGTTTTTGTTTACTACTTGTTCCAGGCGAAACAGAAAAGATTGCGTTCTTTTCATGAAGTTACGTAAGATTATTCACAAACGTTTCTCAACATTTGAAGCAATAACATACAAGATGGTGGTGTTATTCAAGTACTAGCTACGAATTCAGGTCTGTATTTTCAACCACGACATTTAGGTACCACGCCTCTGGGTCTAGTTTCCCATAAACTTGGAGACAGCATCACAATATAAATAACCAGGAACTGAATAGATGCAATTCTTACAAAATCTTACATATGTACACATATAAGTAATTCAGAATAAACTTATTTCATGGACCATATTCAGGGGACGGTTCAAATCTTGAAGCAAGAGCTCTAATTCTCCTATCTATCATGGTGAGGCACTGGATTATACATAACAAATTCAAAAAAAACAGAATGCTCCTGCCTTACATAATGTCATTGATTTTTCACTGACTTATCATCTTTAGATTTTTCTGAAAAGCAACATACACAGGAGAATTTCGTCACATTTCATGATACTGAAAAATGTCAAGTGTAGCATATCCCCTAGCATGGATGTTGTAGGCTTTTCAAATGTACAGTTCATAAGCCCCTTCAAAACTGTCAGTGTTACCCAATGCCATCAACTATTAATATCAGAGCATCTCTACCTATGCAGTCTTTATGGTGCAGCAGTTTGAGAGAAGTTCTTAAGTTTCCAAGGAGAAGCCAATTTGCAAAAGCATTATTTCCAATCCTGCACCATCTTTTTTTTAATTTTGTGTCATCCTCACCTGTGAATACAATATTACCTTGGGTGCATCCCATTAATAAGGGGCTTTGGATAAGAGATGAAGAACAGAATTCTGTAAAAGGTACTTTATTGGGGAAAAAAAAGCAGGTCTATCAGGAAATCCAGGTTTTAGCAGTTGTCCAGTTTTAAAAGTATGGCTTTGATTTATGGATCAGAATTGCTCATTTATTATTTTATCTATACTGCTTTGGGCAATTTTGACAGTTAAAATTTAGTTTTATTGACCAATGCAGCCAGTTTAGCCACAAGGGGACTAATGCACACACAGCCTGCTGCACTCAGGAAGCTGTGATTTGATTCCATCACCAAGTTAAACTGGGAATCGTAACCAATATAACAATAAGTCCAAATTTCAATGCTCGAGGCAAAATACTTACTCTAAAACACAATCAACCCTTACAAGAAGGTGGGAAATAATTTTGTGAGCGAAGCCTCCATGCACTGTTTACTGTAGCAGATGTACTCCACCAATGCCTCTGTCAGCAATGAGTGCAGAGGAGTACAGAAGAAACCTTTCTTTAATGATTGTGGGCAACAAATAAAGCGGGAAGAAGGAAATGAAAATGCAAAAGAGAATCAAAGGTGTAATCTAAGTCCTACGGCTTACCAGGGATCTGACTCTGAGAAAACTCTCTCAAGCAGCCTTCTCTTTTTCTAAACCAGATTATATTCATATATACATAAATATGCATGTATTCATGTTGCAGTGTGAAAGACTTACAAGTTTACTTAAAAAAAACTTGCTAGAATGATTTTAAGCCAGTGTTAATTTAGGCCTATCCTATTATAAAATTAGCATCTTCTGCAATCTCAATTTATTGCTCCATTGTGAAGCCCCTTGTGATACATAAACAAATCTCTGAAGAGAAACAAATCAATAAAGTGTCTAATTTGATTAACCATGTTTTTAAATTCATCAAGACAACTGTACAAAAACAAACCACTTACTTGTCAGTATTTTCCACGTCTTCTTTTCATCATCATAATACTGAACCAAATTGCTGGGTAGCCGGTCAGGTCCGGGAGGCAATCCTCCAACCAGTAACAGCATTTTCTTATTGGAACGAATTCTTCACCCAAAACAAGAGGAAAGATGAACAACCACATTACTGAAGAGTATTTTAAGTGGCAACAAAATCATAGGCATCACAAGAATGTTCACTGCTTGCAGTTTTCTATTTCATTTTTTGTGTTTCTTTCCCCAATCATGTCTCAACAATTTTTTGAACCAAGCAGAAAAATGATCAGAAAAGCTGCACATCTCTCTACTCATGGAATAATAAGCTTCCTTTATGCAATTTGTTAGAGGTTCATTCTAGAACGACCTTTTTCTTATATTATCCCTTTAAATCATCACTCTTTACAGCTGAATACACATGAAATGCTCTGGAGTTGTACTAAGGTTAAGCATTAAAGTTGCATGTCAAAAATCGTATTAGTCAAAATCATTATTATAAGCCATTCTACACTCAAAGAACCTTGAAAAAATTAAGGTTATGCAGAGAGTTTGTGAGCCAACTCTTTAATCACACACTGAACTTCACATATATAGTTTAGTACAATTAGCAGCACTGGGCTAATGGTTACGGGTTAAATGCTACTTACAAGCACTTTTGTTTGTTTAATTTAGTCCAGACTCTTGCTTTCACTTCCCCTCCCCCCCCCCCCCCACTCCCCCCCTTCTCTTTTCTCTCCCCCTGTGCACCACTGGCTATAGCAACACCAATTGGTAAAAATGAGACTGTGATGTTGTTGTGAGCCTCCCCAGAGTGGAGCCCTGCCAATGCTTGCCACTGATCCAGCGGCATGAACTTGCTCAACTGTGCAAAGTCACTCTAATTCCCTCCCTCTGTTTTTCTACCTTCCCCCCCAGGGGGCAACCACTGAAAGGAGTGACTACCCACCCATCAAGAGCTGGCAATTCGCTGCTATTAACCGTGACCGTGATTCCCAATCTGCCTGGCAGTTCTTAAGAACAGGACTGCAATGTCTCATATGCAGTAAAAGCGGTTATCTGCACCCTGGCCTCCAACCCTCTACCTGATGAATGGACGATTCCTTTGCAACATTAAGGGATTTAGCGCAATTGTAAGCGAAAAGAGGAGGGGAGGCCCCAGACTCCCAGATGAGTCCTGATGCGTTAATAGTCACTTCACATATAATTGAACTTTCATCAGTTATTCTAAGCTGGAGAGTGATAGCACTGAAACAAAGGTCTACAGTCAAAACGTTCCTGCTAAGCATGATGGTGGCGTAGCCTGGAGAAAATGCATTGATAGGAATGTGCAGGGGGACCACGCTTTCGACGGAAAGCACCCTTGCCAAAAAGCAACATTTTCCCACTAAAAATAGCAGTATTGTAGCAATCTGTGTGTCATTCGCCTAGGCGCGCGGCAAAGAAAGGCGCAGAACGCCTCTAGCCAAACCCCATCACCACGGAGTTGCACGTGGCAGGGCAAAACCTCTGCCGGGCGCTGCGGGCTCAGCACCGCACCCCGGCAGAGGGAGCGTTATCCCCGAGGCACGCCGTTACCGCCAACGACGACCCGGAGAGAGCGCTGGTGACGGGCTAACTCACCCTGGAACCAGCACTGCGCTCCCTCCCCTCTTCAGGAGGCTGCGCAGAGTGAGCTCAGTCGGGCTGTCTTTATATGTATCTACACTACCCAAAATGCACTTAATTCAGGAAGGTAAACAGTCGATCTACACGGCGCTTAGGAATAAAACCTTTCCAACGGCTACCCAGAAGACAACCACAGCTTGCAGATGCCGCAAAATAAGACACCGTCTATCACAAGGCTGGCCGGGTGAATTCCCCGGCTGCTGCCCTTGTTTGTTTTCCAATGAATTTAGGGCTCACGGAAGGTCCTGAACTGACAGCACAGGAAACGGAAACCCTCGCGCCATGGGCAGAAGTCGGAGAGCGCGGGCAGCGACCCGGCAACGCGCTCCCGCGCTGCCTGTATCTGCATGCCATACTGGCAACTGTCTCATGGTCACCGTCAGCGCGGACTCCGCTCAGGGAGACCAAGCTCTGCGGAAAAGCTTTCACAAAGGTTGCCAGCGTCCTGAAACGTTCAGTCTCCCCAGTAAAGTTTTTAATGAGAGAACGTTTGATAAAACATATGCAACACAGGGAGTACGATAAACTATTTTTGGTATGAGTTAGGGATGACTGCACATGTAACAAGCAGCAGAGCAAACCAGAGCCATAAGTCAGTTATGCATGGCCATCCCTAACAATAGAGAATCAATTGTTTATTCCAACCCTCTTGTGTTGTATGTTATATCACAATCAACGCCCTGTGTATTGTAAAATTTGGAATGCCCTTGCAAGGTTTAGTTGATAAAGGAGTTTATTTTGATTTTCGTCTTTCATCTGTGAAACTCCCTTCCAACTCCAAAGCACTGTGAAAAACCAATGAATGGCCAAGGCTCAACAGTCAAGGTGAAGAATGAAATGTCAGATGTAACTCTGAGTTTCTAGACTTCGGCAGTTGCAACTATCCTTAACGCTACTTTTTCAGCTAAACAACCTGAGAATCTACTATATCTTCAGAAGGAGTGGTGGCACTGTTATACAGGAATGTTTAAAAATACCTATTTTTTTTAATGCTTAAAATGGGAAGTAATATGAACAGAAGCCCTTAATAAAAATCTAATATGAATTTAATAGCTGGGATAGTCTCTTATCAAAAGCGCAGGGAACTCTCAAATAACTAACAAGCCGTGCGTTGTTTTACTCAAAAATGCATAGAACTTAACTAATTTATATCGAGAGCTCTTCCGGTGAATTAAGTAAAGATAATGCAGTGACACTAAAGACATGCACGTTTTAAACCAATGTGTTTTCTTGGAGCCGATTCTGCTTTTTAAGTTTTGGAGTCAATCCCTACATTTTAGGTTTTCAAAAAAACTCCATGCTCTATTAGAATACATTATATCTGTGTTTCACATTGCACTGAGCAGTACTGTTGAAAACATTAACTTACATATACATATTAAAATATGAAAGACGTGGAAATGACGGGTGTTTATATGCAGAAGCCCTTGTCAAATATTAATAAAAACGTGATTCAATGGAATACTACGGTAAAAGCAGGATCTAAAAAAATGTGTAATATCTTAGCAAATAAAGTTTCTCCCCTTTTTGTGTTACTGCTATTTGCTATTTAGATAACTCAAGATTACCATCTGTAACACCTTATAGTATAGCTGAAACACTCTTTTCGTAATCCTTATTTCCTTACAGTGTCTTTTCATAGTCCTTATTTCAGTCCTTATTACATTGTGGTTCACAGTAACCATAGCAAGACTATTTTGATCATCCTGTGTTCAATTAAGAGTAGCAGGTGCCAGTCAGGGAAGGCTAAAATAATGTTAACTATGAACAGGCAGGCTGGTGTCACAGGTAAAAGCTGAGATAAACATATGAATGTCTTATCCTGACAGCATTTCCTTATACCTAGAACCCCAAACCCTTGTTCCCTTTGATATACGTACATTAGTCTGCACACACTTTCCAGTTTCTGTAAAAGGTTTCAAAACAGTTAATTCACCTTAATTAAGTCCCTGGGGCACCTCATGTGCTGTGAAATGTATTTTGTCTACTTACAAGACTGTAAATCAAAGTATATTTTAAGGGCAACATTTTCCAACTTGCATGGTTTGATTCAGGCACACAAACCTAAGTATCTGAAAACTCATGCAAGTGGCTTTATTTTCAGAGATGCTCAATACCCATCAACACACCAAAATCCTACCAACTTCAATGGTAGCAGTAAACGTGCATCAGCTCTAAGAACAGGTTCACTTCACAAAGTCCAAACTAAGTATACACTCACTAAACGCTGGTCAAAATGCTGAGTGCAATTTTCTCATTATTCTGAATGGAAAGGACTGTTACAGAACTCAGTAATCCTGATGCCCACCTCTTCCTAAAGCTCTTTTGTAACCCTGATAGTCTCATGTGAATGGAAATCGCATTAATAGGAAATTGTCTTCCTGTAGATTGTTTTTCTTTATTAACGGAGCCATCAATCTTGCACTGCTGGGTTTTCCTCATCTGGGCAGTTAGTAGAATATCATTCTACCAAGCAAGGCAAGAAAACAAGCCCTACAAACAACAGATTTGCTCCAGACTCCTTCAGTTTTTTTAAATGACGCAATAAAGCTCCTTTCTCTGAATTAGTGAATGCGTAGAGAAGAGAACAGAATAAACCAAGGAAATGGCGGTTCTGTAGTTCGTAACACATTGTGTGGGGCTACATATCAGAAAGAAAATCCTATCTTAGATGCAAAGGTGATTATGGCAATCAATGAAAAAAAAATGAAGACTCTTCCAACTACACTTTCCTCTTAACTCAGGGCTATAATAAATCCAAATACCTAGATCATTCATTCTCTTTTAATTTAGGCTGGCACCTTAGCTTGAGTATGGAGCGAGCCAGGGGCTTTTCCAGCCAGGAAACTCACTCTTGCTTGAGCTCTGCCCATATACACAGCAGAGCCAAACTGAACTCAAGACGTTTGGCTCACCAAATTCAGGCTCAAACATAACAGCAAAGAGACCAGCCCAGATTCACCAAAAGCACAGGAACGTGTGGTAAATTTTATGTATACAGATAAATCCAACGAAGTTAAGACACCAGAGTATATACAGCCCAATATATTCTGATACTGTCAAAACAACGAGGAGCAAGAATCATCGAAAAGGTGGATTGTACTAATTAGCAGCAGAAACAAAAAATTACTTTAGGGTTTAGGATTCAAGCTCAACATAATAAGCAAAGAAATAAATACACTGTCTCGATTAGCATTTTGAGCTTTTGTCGGTTAACCCTAAAGACATAATTTAACGTTCAAAAACCAGGACAGTCTTTAGCAATCCTTCTTCATCAAAAATGCATCTGAAGGAATGTTGTGCAAACCAGCGTCGAGCAAAAATGGAATGGAGGAGCCTGTTGTTGCCTGCAAATCTGAGCTGATGATGCAGACATCCATTTGCTCATGACTAAAGAAACTGTTTTCCCATCACACAGCATGTTATGAGATCTTTGGGAATCACTCT